ATGTTGTTGTGTTTCCCCGCGTTGGTTTTTTATACAGCCGTATAGTACTCCATTGTGTGCGCTGCGGTTTATCCATCAGACCGAGGTGTCGTTATCATCTTGTCGTCATCCCATCTCACAAATGGGGAAACTGGGGCTCTAAGCTGTTCGCTAAGTGTTCAGCCTGGGGTCACAACGGTGAGGTTGACACTGAGCAGGGATTTGAACCCAGCTGCGTCCGGCTCCAAATCCAGCCCCTCACCCTGGACAACAGAGGCTCCCATGCCCCTGGAGCACTGGGATGGGCAGAAATGAACTCTGTGCCTTGTGGTCATGACCTCCTTCTCCCTGAGGCACAGTGGGGAGTCAGGAGGCAGCTGCCTGACTAGCCCCGGGAGGTGAGAAAATTGCCTCAGGTTTGGCCATTGCCAATATTTATTTTCACTGTGTCCCAGGCTGATGGTGCAGGCACAGGTGTCACTCCCAGCTTTGTACCTTGAGACCTGGCCTTCGCCAACATGTTGAAATAACTGCAAACAGCCGAGACATGGGGGAAGCATCCTCGTCCCTGAGCAGCAGCTGGCTCTCATGGGTAGGAGGAGGGAATCTGGCCTGGCTTGGGGACAGCACCTGCCCTGGCTCCTCAGAGATTAGTTCCCACAACAGTAGCTCAGATGTAACCCTCTGTGACTGAGGGTTCTGAGGCCGGGAGATCTTCTGCAATCCAAGCTTTGCCCACTAAGAAGAGGTGGGTCACCATGGGGACTCCTAGCGCTGGCCTGATCTCAAGAAAATGCCAAGGTTTTGCACTGCTCCCCAACTCTCTGGGTCCTTGCTTGTGCCTAGCAGACCAGAAGCCGGTCAGAGAAGGGTCATCCACAAGACAGCAGGAGGAGGTGAGGAGCCTGGGTAGTCTCCTGGGCCCCCTCCCCCCCTGAACCCAGGCACTGTTTCAGGCAGTCCAGCCAGACGTGATTAAATGGTTGGCTACGTGCAGGAGGGTAAGATCCCAGGGGAAGAAGGGCACAGGGCCAACACCCCAGGTGGCCCTGGGGCACCCTTTGCTCTGTCGATCATTAACAGAAGCCACCCCATGGCAGGCAGACAAGGGGAAAGTCCAAGGGGGAGGCCTACCCCCTCCTCCCAGGCACCGTCCTCCAAACATGCCAACCCAGGACCTCGTGGGACATGAGATCATGACACTGGAGGGGTGTGTGCAGAGTCATCTAATCCAACTGGCTGCTTCTTGTGTCCCTACAAAGTCTCCACAGGCCAAGGGAGTTGGGAACTAACACCGGTCGATTTGCAGTTACTATGTGCCAGGGACTGTGCCAAATGTAGTCAGTATGCCAGCCTGCAACATGGTGGCAAAATGCAATGAGGGAGCTGGCCCGCCTGGGTTCAAATCTCAACACTTCTAGCTTTGTGACCAATCAGTGAGCTTCTCTGCGCCCCAATTTCTCCATACATAAAATGAGGAGAGTATAGGAGTGCCTCCATGAGGTCACATGAGCATGTAATGAGTTGACACACACGAAGTTCTCAGACTACCTGCCACTTGTGAAGAGCTGTCTTTGCTAACTGTTCACTGGATCTTCAGCCACCTCTTGAGATACAGATGAAAACGCCAAGGTTGAGTCATCTGCCCAAGGCACAGCTGGCACAAAGAGAGCTGGGATCTGAACCCGGGTCAAAGGGTTCCATCGCCCTCTCCCTCCATGCCATGGAAGCTTCCTCCTGCCATGACGCTATCTGTTCCTTTGGTAACCAGTGTTTCATGATCCAATGGGCTATAAAACCTATCTCGCGTCTGCCTCCCTGTTCTCTCAAAGGCCCTCCTTTCACCAGAGTGTCAATGAGCTGCAGTAGGCCCCCAAACTTCCTCCTGAAAATGAAGCTTCCTGGCCCAGAGAGGTAAGTCCTTGCTCAGTGGCCAAAGTAACTCTTTTCTTTTTGCTGCTCCAAGGGAAGACCCGTAGCCAAGGGCCAGACCATGGGTTGCCAGACAAACAGCCATGGAGGCCCTGCCCTACCAGGACAGACCTCATGCAGGCCCCCAAACCAGAGATGCCCCAAGGTCTGGTACCGGAGGTAGGGAAGCAGTCCTTGCATCTAAGGAACTTGCTGACAAAGGCAGACCTGACCTTCCCTGCTCCACTTCCCTTGGTGTAGGCCTTACCTCCAGCTCTCTCTGCATGTCTCCCGTCTTCCCTGCTGCAGAGGAACTTAGGGATGAAGGTCTCCTGCCAACTCTGGGCTCACACCTCCCTCATCTGTAGCTTAGAGCACAGGCCCATTGCTAAGGCTCCTCCATCTTCCAGGATTTGGGAAGAAAAGGCCCAAGTTTCTGCTAGTTCTTTTCTCATATAGCTTTGGACGGATCTCCTCTATCTTGAAGATGTAGATGGCAGAAAATCCAACTTTGTGGTGATAACCATGCAGGGCCTGAGTGGCCAAAATCCCAGCCTGTGTTTCCCATGGAGACTCTTAGGTGGGGAAAAGGGTCAAGGCTTAGGTACAGAGAGTTTCCCAAGGCCATAGCGAGTATCTCCTTGCCTGTGGCACCCCCCACCCTCAGGCAACCCCCACCCTCAAAGGCATCCTGGAGTCTATGTTTCTAATTTTGGTATCACTCGAGTGATGGATTCCAACTGAAGAAATTCTGAGCAGACCTATGGGTATGCTTAGCCTCTGAGAACCCAGCCAGTGTCACCATGAGCCAGAGAATTAGATGTCTGCCATATGCTCACCTACGCCTGCAGGGAATGAGCTCAAGGTAAACAATTAAATGTCTTTTTGCCTTTAGTCAGCAAGGAAGATCACATGCCACCACCACCACCACCACCACCACGCGCACGCACGCACACACACACACACACACACGCGCGCCCTCGCTCCCTCTGCACGCACTGGCAGCCTGGGTTCACTCCAGTCCCAAGGGGGGGCTGTCTCCCCCCCCCCCCCCCCAGGGTCGGGCCCTCGGAAGGGGTTCCGCCCCCCCCCCCCCCCAGCAGGGAAGGAAGAGTTGACAGGGTGCATAAGGTAGGTCTTCCCAAGCCTCAAGGGCAGCCCAGCCAATGTCTGCTGCAGACATAACTTTGGGAGAGATCAAGTGAAGGTAGAAATTCAGCTCACCCCCCAAAACTTAGTGCGAGGAACCAAAGGCAGCCTCAAATAGCAATATCCATCCCTGCCTCCCCGAAAAGAACGGCTCCCAAGAACCAAGAACCAGACTTAGGGTTTTCAGAAGGATCCAACCCCTCTGGCAAGCAAAATATCCCCTTCAAAGCGGTCATCTGGCCTTGGCTGCAGTGCTTCTAGCTAGGGGGACCTGACTCTTCCCAAGATGACAACCTACCTATCCTGCCTGGCATGTGTAACAAGACTTAAGGTGGTGGAAATTCCCGAGGACTTCCCATTAGGACTGGCCATCTTAATAGCCACTTCCCCCTAACAGCCCTCCAAATACAGAAGTGCAGGTCAGCTCCAGGTGGACCCACCCCCAACTCCAGTGCCCTTGTTTGGGCCCCTGACCATCTTAGATACTCCTCTCCAAGCCTGCAATCCTTCATCCTGCCCACCCCAGACAGGTGTTGAGAGGCTAGAGAGTTTCAGGTCAATTTCATGTGGGAAAAATGAGCCTGCAAACACTCCACAAAGAACTCACTCCTACCTAGACTTGGTTGGAGTACCATGTGCCAGGTTCCCCCTCTACCATTTTGGCACTCCAATCACCACCCAAAGGAATGAAGACCATAAAGTGGAGAAGACTGTGCTTCAGCTTTTGCTGAAGGCCTCCGAAGCTGCACAGGTACCCAAGGCTGGTCCCTGGTCAATAACCAACACGCTGGGAAGATAATAGAGAAGTATGGGCTCCCTTTGCAATAAACTCCCATCCCATCCCCTCTAAGCTCAGAGACTTCCAGCATCAATGGAGGGAACTACAGCCATAGGTTTAGCTGTTATGGCTGAGAAAAAAGCAACAAGCACTCCTCCTCTTCCCCAGCACCTGTATCCTATACAAAGGACAAACCTATAGGCAAAGGAAAACCACAAACCAAGTAAAACCAGCTTCACCATCCATGTTTCTTGAAAAAAACGGGGTTTATTGATTTTTAAACTGCAAATAGTCGTTACAAAAAGTTTTTTTTTCTTTTAAATAAATTCACACAAAGAAAGAGAAATAGAAAGCGACGGTAGTGACCAGCAAGAGGAATAATAATTACATTCATCTTAATGTGTGTGTGCCAGTTCTGTTTGCATTAACATTGGAAAACTCCAAACCTGGAATCCAGAACCTCAAATCTGCAATCGGAATGTCTTGAGATGGGCACGTGGAAGTCAAAGGGTTTCTTTTGTTTTTTTGTTTTTTCCCTTTTAGAAGCCATACATAAAAGTTGTTTTCCTTCTGTACTGTCACAGAACTTTTACATACATTCTCAGTCCTAGCTGAAAAGGCCTAAAGAAGAAGAAACTCAATTTGCAGTCCAACACAAAGGGGGGAAATTTCTAAAATAAATAATCCAACAGTTTTTTGCATTTTTTTAAATTAATTTTTCATTTTTTTAAAATAAAATAACCAAAAAAAGTGTAAAGTTACAAAAAATGTCGTTGAAGAATAATATATTAAAACTGTGGAAAAAAAAAGGAAAAAGACACGTCACAAAATTTTAAGATTAATATGAAGATCATAATTTAACATAAAAGAATATATTCTATGGATTTGTCATCCCGATAAATATGAACAAAATTAACAAAAAAAAAGCATAGTTTTGGCAATAAATACGTTTTGATAAGTTAAATAAGCTTTTTTATATTGATGTGCAGTGACAAGCAAAATTTTTGCTCTCCAATTTCTGAAAGTTATATGAAGTTTAAAACCCAGGGAAAAAAGCATGGCGTGAGTGCTCTAAGGATAGACCTACGGTATTCTAGAGCAAAAACCATTGAAGCTACTTCTACAGGAAATTGTTTTAACACAGCTATTGTATGTGGAATGAATACCATTAACTGCTCACCCCTTACATGTTTTTTTAGCTTTTCTCTCATTTTTTTGTTATTTTTTTTTTTTTAAAGATGTCACATATGAACTGGGGAACTTTAGCACCAAAATCAAGTCTCTCATAGTCCATCTAGCTTCCCCATCCTCCCCACTTAAAAAAAAAAAAGAAAGAAAAAATTAAATCACAAAGTCCCACTTATGTCGCGATCTTCATCCACTTTTTGTCTTCCTTCCTGTAGACCTACGCGAACCCAGGCAAGATTAGTCAACAGAGGTTCAGGTCGGGAAGAAAAAGGTTTTGAATGTCAAGATAGGTTTCCCCAAAAACCCAAGTCTGGCAACAACTCTCCCAAGAGGGGTGTGGGGGGGTCATGGGGAGAGGGGAGGGGGAGAGTGTGGGAGGCTGAAATAAGGGAAGGTGCAGTTGGGTCGCCAGCGGAGGGAGCTGCTGGTTCTGGGTCCCCTCCCCCTCCCCCATGGGCAGAGGCTCAGGGAGGCCCACGGGTGCCCTCTGGCGCTGAAGAGGTAATGTAGTCACAGTGACAAAGTTAGATTACAAGGCACTAAATTGCTTCTGTAAACTGTTACTGCTTTTTCTTTTGTGATTTGGCACTTAAGGCGTAAGCCGAGGGGAAAAAGGCATCTACTGACAAATATGGGACTTGTCTGTTATGCATGGTAAGTGGGCTATAAAATCGAGGAGAGGGGGTTTCAAGCCAGAGGAAGCTACTGACAAATTGACTTGTCCTTATGTTGGGGGGGGGGGGGGGGTGGTCAAGAGAGGGGAGAGGGAAGGGGCATTCCAAGGTTCTGGGGGAAAGGGGTTGAGCTTAACCTTGTTAATGTAGGGGTTGTCAGGAATCAGGGAGAGAGGGAGGGGAGGGTTAAGGATGGGGGGTGGAGTAGGCAGGGGGTCCCTCCCTACCCGGGGTTTAGTCATCTGAGATGGAAAGTCTGCTGAAAATGGGCAGGCGTCTTGAGTTGTCCAAGGTGGGGGAATCTGAGCCACTGTGGCTGCTGCTGGAGCTGCTCAGATAGCCCTCCTGGTCCGAGAGAGAATCCTGAGGGCTGGGGGGAGAGTCAAACATGTGAGGGGACTCGGACATGGGCCGGAAGAGGAAGGTGGTCGGGGAGCCACCCCCGGGCAGCCCCATGCTAGGGGCAAAGAGGTTCGCCAGCTCCTGGCTGGAGAAGGCGAAGGGATTATTGGTGCCATCTGGCAGGGTGGGTGAGCCCAGGAGGTCATCGGCGCTCAGGATGGGGGGTGGGGTGATGGACGTGGGGCTGTCCAGCAGCCCTGTGGCAGCGGCGGTGGCAGCGGCACTGGGAAACCCAGCAAAGCTAAAGCTATGCTGGAGGCGGGGACGGTCAGCGGAGAGGTCCCGGGCCCCGGCCAGGGCGCGGCGCTCCTCAGCGTTGTGGATGAAGTGGCAGCGGGGCCCATACGGGCAAAAGCCGATGGTGTGGAAGGTGCGGCACAGCTCCGTCTTGTACTTGGGGTGACGGGTCAGGCTTCGGAGCTCGTGGATGCCATGCGCGAACTGGCACTTGTCCCCGTACTTACAGGCGCCGTTCTCCTCAAAGGGGCGGCACAGCTCCGTCTTGTAGCGGCTGGAGTTGACCTGGCCGCTCCCTGGCTGCTTCTGGGTGGGCAGCAGCCGCTCGCCCCCTTCTGAGAAAGAGCGGTCTCGGAAGCGGCTGTCCCGAGAGCTCAGAGCTGGGGCCGGCTCGCCCTTGAGGCTGCTGAGGAGCTGGTTCTGGTGGAACTTGGAGCTGGGCAGGGTGACCGAGTGCCTCCGGGGGAAGCCCCCACCGGCAGGGGTGCCCACCGCCTTCCTGTCCAGCAGGCAGCCCCCTGCACTGGGAGTACTGTAGTTGAGCATCTTGTTACCCTGGAGGGAAGAGAGGGAAGAGAGAGGATGGTTGGTGACAAAGGCCATGTACCAGGGCCAAGAAAAGTATCCCTAAGTGCAGCCCCCTCCACAATCGGAAATGCCCCTTGTGTCTCTAAGGAACTACCTCTAACTCAGCCCTGGCAAGCCCCCTCCCACAAACCAGCCACCTAGCTTTACTTCGGCCCCATGCGTAAGAAACTACAAAGTCCTAACCTATAAAAAATTGTTATACATGCACCCTACTCCATGCAGACCCCTGGAATGCACCCCCATATCCTGTCTCCAAAGCTACCACTTTTATCCATAAAATCTAACTTTTTTACCTCCCCAGTAGATTCCTCAGCTAAAAAGATCTCCCGTAACTCCGACTTCTCTAGATTCCCTTTCCCCCAAACAAGAACAGGTAAACCTCAGGAGACTCTGAGTACCCTCCTTTTAATCGGTCCCTCCTTGATTGACACTCCACACAAACAAACGCCTGGCTTCCCAAGACTCAACTTCCTCCTTCAGAAAGGTTCCCTTCCTTTGGCAACAGGTTTCCAGACTGCCTTTGCTTTACTTGCTAAGAGGAGGGGAAGAGGAAGGGTCAGGAGAAATCCTCTATCTGGGGTGGGGGGTGGGGGGCAGGAGAAGGATGGGATTCTAAAATAAAGTTCATTGCCCCATGCCCTGGAAAGAGGTGCCTTCTACATTGATCTCCCCACCCCCTCCACTGGGAAGATGCCTTTGCAGTTAGTGTTCTGGCTGCAAGGGCAGGCTTGGATAAGAGCGCCAGTGTTTAATCTTTAACGCAAAGCTGCAGGTGGGAAGGAAAAGGAAAGCACCAAATCCCCCCACCCGCCTCCCAGTCAATAGTAGATTTGGGGGGAGGGAAGCAGAGCCACCACAGACAGGTTTCTGTTCCAATGGTATACCCTGGTCACCTGCCCAATCTGTACCCAAGATTCGGAAAGGGCACAAGCTGGGGACCAGGGAGTTGGCTCCCAGCCCATGTGGGTGTCATTGTGCAAATTCTAAAGTTGGTCCCTTAGGATCAGCTGCAGGGGCTCGGGAATCTGTAACAGCAACCACCCCACAGAGCGGATTACAGGAACCAAGTTGAGAGCCCGGTTCCCAACAATAAGGTTCATTTAAAAAGTCCGGGGGGGGGGGGGGGGGGGGGGGGGGGGCGAGGGAAAGAGAAATAGATCAAAGAGTGAGAAAGCCGGGAAGAGAAGGAAGGAGTGCAACAGAGCTCAGGTTAGCTGCCAGGGCAACTGGAGTTTGGGAAAGCCCAGAGAGGGAAGGAAGCTGAAATTCAAACTTTTTTTGATGTTGTTCTTCAGCTCCTCGGAGTCCCTGCACCCCAACCCTGCAGCCCTGGGGCCCTGGCAGCTGGGCCGACTGGAGAAGCAAGCTGGGAAAAGAGAGCGACATGACCCAACGTGTTTAAAAGAAGGCAAAACACTTTAGCAATTAAAAGTAGCCTAGCAGCTCCCCGCTTTCAAAGTGGGGAGAGGGGATGAACATAATCTAACATCCAAAGGCTTTTGCTGTGTACACTTAAACCGCATTCATGGAAAACTGTGTTTAAAACCTGCTTTTTTTCACACAGGCTGGCAAGCTACGCCACTTAAGGAGGCCCCATTAAATCCTTCCTCGCAGAGCCCCTTGAGCTCAGGCCGGCATTTTGTTCTCCAGGCCCCCCTCAACCCCCTCGGAAAACAGGTAAACGGGTCAAGCCTAGTACCATTATCACCCCAAAGTTTGCAGTACTGTAGGCGATCCCAGAAGGAAGCCTGGACGAGCTGGGGCGAACTGAAGTCCTACTGCAAACCCGTTCTGCAACATCCTTTTGAATCACAACTCTTGGCCTTTTTCTCGTACGTTCCCAGCCCTTCCACATCAGACATCCCAGTAGAGATGTCGTCCGGAGACTCACTTCCCCAAGGGGAGCCCCTGCTGACCCCACTGGCTGGCGGTGTGGCTGGAGACTCGAACCCCTCCCGGCGACAGCGAGACCCAGAGCGCGCACAGGCAAACCGAGCAGACCAGCGAAACCGGGCTCAAGCAGCACATTACCGGCGACGGAATCACCAAAAAAAAAAAAAAAAAAAAGGTCCCAGCAAACGACCCGCATCCCTCGGGCGGCCTCGCCACGCAAACTTCGCCCCCCAAAACTCTCATCTCCAAATTCCCATGCAGTAGCCGCCAGGACCTGTTGAAACTCAAAGGGTGGGAAGGAGAAAGCCAAATTCCTTTAAACTGGGGGGAAAGTAAGGCGGAAAAAAGAACCATCTTGCCTCTCTTCCTCTCCTTCCTACTTTCCAAGACCTGAACTTTTGAGGGTTCTTTCTTTAGGCAAAAGAGGAAAAAGAAAACTTTGAAAAGCGAACCCTCCGCCCCACTCTACCTTGCATAAAACTTCACTCAAGTCGAAGATGGTGGCAGACACGAGGGTGGTGGTCATCCTGGGCGCTCGCACGGGGCAGGGACGAGGATCTGGTGTGCCGCGAAGGTCCCGGTGCGGGGAAGGCGCAGCCTCCGGCTCTCCGGTCTGGAGTCCCACACGCCTGCTCCCGGCGCCCCTCGCCTTTCTGACTCTCCCCGACTGCGGCGCGCGAAGCCCAATTTATAAAGTTCAGATTTGGTGGACCGGGGGAGGAGGAGCTTTAAACTTATTTAAATGAGGAAGAGGAGGAAAAAAAAGGTGATTGACACTGAAGTTGAATCAGCCATGCGGTCAAACTCGGGGAAAAAAAAAAAAAAAAGAAACTTTCAAAAGGAAGAAGGGGGAGGGGAAACGAGGAAAGAAGGCTAAGAAAAAAAAAAAACCAACTGCAAGCAGCGCACAACTTTTTTTTCTTAAAGAGGAAAAGTTTCGAGTCTCTCGCTTGGCTACCCGGCGCTTGGGGCGCCCCTCTGTGGGGCCGCGCGGCGCGAGGGGGAGGGGCGCCCCCCCCCTTTGTCAGCCTGCGAGCGCGGCTCTGTGACATCATTCATTCCACCCTCTTCGGGGTTCTTGTTGTTGTGTTGTTGTTTTTTTGTCGGGCAGGAAGGCGGGCTCGACTTTCTCTTTTTGCAGGCGGGAGCAGAACCCGTCCTTAGCGCCCGGGCTGCGGTTTCCATCTTGAGCAGATCTCCCCTGAAATTTCTCCAAGTGCCCCCCACAACTTAACTCTTTTCCCGAGTTTTCTTCCGCACTCGGCTGCCTTCCGCAAACCAAGCAGGACCAGAACATCGGGAATTTGGGACGCAGAAAGCATTCGGGTCTAAGGTTTTTAGTTTAGTTTAGTTTTTGTTTAGTTTTTGTGTTTTTTTTTTTTTTCAGCAGGTCGTGGGGGAGGTAGAGTGGTGGGGGAAACTAGGGAGAGTTTTTCCCTGGGGGGGGGGGGGGACCGGGCCCGGCCGGGAGAGCGCAGCACGGTTTCGCGCGCCGCACGCGTCTACACACTCCTGTGCTTCGCAACCGAACGGCGGGAGGGGCAGTAGCGAAAAAGACCACCGCCCGGAAGGATTGCTTGCTTGTTTAACAGGCTTGGGAGTGGGATTTGTTTCACGCATTCAACCCTTAAACTTCTTCAAAAAGAAAACATGAATCCTCATGAATGTCCTTTCCAATCCGCCCTCCTCGCCCCCCCCCTCCGAAACACCAATAACGCACAACTTTCCACGAGCGCTCTGAACTATGGGACACACGCACACACCCCTAGACGCTTGAACAATGAAAAAAGTTACTTTGGCAAGAATGAAGGTAAAGAAATGGGGGAGGCGACACTTTTAACTTCTTGTTGCTTCTCCCCCGCCCCCACGGGAACGGAACATATGGCTTGTCACGCTGCGCTGTTTGGGCGGGATGGGGGGAAGGGGGCATGGGATCTTCCAACCCCCCCCCCATAGATTATTACTCCTTTTAAGACTGTAATATATTTACTGTTAGCTTCAGAGGCCTCTCCTTCCACCCAAATAAAAAGTTGTTAACGTGTCGCCCACGGCCCCCGGGTGCTGGAGCGAAGACCCAGGCGGAAATCGCGGGGCTGTGTTTCTTTCCTATTTCCCCGCGTGCCCGGCCGCCTCCTCAGCCCTCGCACGTTTCTTCCCAGCACTCAAGGCGGCCGGGTCTGTTATGAAACCCCGTGCGCTGAGTGGCTAAGAGCGGGTTCCATTGCGATGTAATTAGGTCACCCCATTATGAGCACGTTTCTTTGGAAAGGACAGGGCGGGCGGAGCAGAGCGCTCGAGTCGCGCTCTCACCACCACCACCCACCCACACACACACACTCACGCATTTTTATTGCATTTCTGGTGTATTCGTCAACCTCCGAGCAGACCCAGGGAAACCTTCCAAATCACAACTGTTTTAGGAACCGGTTATTTTTCATCTTTGCGAAACACAGAACTTTTGCTGCAACCACCAACCTACGTGATCCCAGCCGGGTCTGCTTTTATTTGGCCCCTCTGACTTAAATTGATGGCCCCCATTTTTAACCCGCCTGCTGCCCCTTGCCTTTCCTTCTGCTGCTGTCCAGCCGCCTGTTGCTTCCCTCCCCCTGCTCCCATAGTTCAGCTTTTCTTGAAATCTGGCAAGCGCCAGAAAGGGAAATAACTTCCATCCACCTTAATTTAAATCACTCAAGTGTAGGTTTCTTTCTTAAAGGGGTGTTTGCTCGCTCCTTTACCCAGCTCCAAGAAAGGGAGGGGGTCGTGCAGTTTCTTGATGATGAGGTAATGAGTTCCAGATTTCAGGACAGAGCAGGCTGCGCGTTAAAACCACAAGGTTAGTCTGCGTCCTGATGTGAAGCTATTTCGTCCTTTTATCTGCCTCCCCCCCACCCCAAAAGACCCATTGGTCTTTAATTCTGGAGGGTTCGCGAAGCTCTGCTGGGGGGATGGAGGAGGGGTGGAAAAGCGAGGGAGAAGGGGGACCCGGAGCGGGTGGGGCCGCCTGCCCGGCCCCAGGCCTGGCCCGCTGTCCCCCGCCCGCGGCTGCAGGACTGGCTAGAAGCACCATCACGCGGCCCCGGAGCCGCAGGCTAGCTAAAAAGTCTTTTTTCCCCCCCCCCCCCCCCCCCCCGCCCCAAGAGAACTCCGATTCCTCGAATTTCCTCCGCTTTTCCAACTCCCGGCCGCCTCTCCCCTCCCCCGCTCCCGGGGCGCGGGCAACGCGGGGCGGCGGCCAGCCTGGCCCGCTCGCTCCGGAGTTGTTTACCGGCCCCGCCGACCCACCGAGTTTGTTCCAGCTCCCAGAGCCTGCCTCTATAATTAAACTCTTTTTTAATTGTTGGGTTGAAACGTCATTTCGGGGACTTTCCAAGGGTGAGGGAGCCGAGGGGAGGGAGCGAGCCTCCTTAACCCTTCGCTGACCCGGCGGGCCGCAGAGTGGCGTCCAGCAGGGCCGAGGAGGGCTGAGAGTCCAGGGGCCGGAGCCGGCCCGCCCCGACTGGACCGGCTCTGCAGGTGCCCGATGGCGGCGGGGACGGCGGAGAGCTCCGACCCGGACGGGAAGGCCGACGAAAGCCATCGCCGAGCTCCCCGCCCCCTAAGCAATGCAGTCCGCGCTCCGGTTCCTTACCCGCGCGGGGCCGCGAGAGGCAGTCCCTCCACCTGCACTGCAGCTTCCGACCGGGAGGCGATCCGCCGGATCCTCCGTCCCAGGCCCGACTATCAGGGCCCTCCTGGCGCACTTGGAGCCGGTCCCCTCGCGAGGAGGGGCTGGGCAGGTATTTTTGGATGGGGGTGTTAGGTTTTGTTCAAGGAGGAAGGTGAAAGTCCCTCGAAATTAGGGAACCGCGACGGATGTATTCATGGGTCATTCTGGACCGTGGGCGCACCTCGCGGCAGGTGAGCGTGTGGGGTGCCAGGCCCCTAGCGGGCTTGGCCACGTCAACAGCGACCTCCAAGGCACCCCTCCCCAGGATCCCATCCTGGCCCGGTTGCAGCACGCGATCTGCCATCGCAGAGTCCCACTCCTTCAGGTCGTTTGCACAAACCCCCAAATTCTTCGGATTGGGCCCCGCCCGCCCAGGACCTCTGCCACCTGAGACCCTGGAACAGCTGTAAGGTCTCTGGATTAGAGAGAGGTGGAGGTATGGCCAAGTGCGGCCTGAGAGTTACGTGGTTTAGATTCACCTGTAGTGCTTGTGGAATGCAGATTCCTGAGCTTGGACCCAGGCCCAGTGAATCAGATGGTCTGGGTGGGGATTCAGATGCTCTGGGGTGGGGTCAGGAATCTGCATTTCTAGTAATTTCCTGCTAGTGACTCAGATATTGAGGTCTGAGAATCAGTGGTCCAAAACGTTGAAGTTGGGCCATTCTGGATCCAAATCTTGGCCCTGCCATTTTCTAGCCCTGTGACTTTTCAAGACAGTGACCAAAGCCTCTGTTTTCTCATCCCTAAAATATGGATGATAATACGGCCTAAAATTGGCCGCTAAAGTGCTTAGTTTCAACCCTAGCAGAACCCTTTTATATGCCTAGCCATTGTATGTAAACGAAACCATTCTTGAGGCCTTATTACACCACAAAACACATTTTGGGGAGTATTCACTTTGCAAAAGGATGCTTCAGTATGAACACCCTGAAATGGTCAGCTAACAACTTTGACCCCTTCTGCGCCTTCTCCTTCCTTGCCTGGGCCTGCCTAGAGACACAGGATAGCCCAGGAGTTTTGAGCCACCTAGACGTTGAGGGGAAGCCCAACTCTGCCAGCTGGTCACCAGTTGCACAACCTCAAGCAGGTCACTTATTCTCTGGGGTGGTCGGGAAGGTTAAACTCTTCCAGCCAGTGCTTAGCTCCGACAGCCACTTGCCCTCCAGTCACTCCAAACTCTAGCAGTTGCTGGTGGTTTGCTGCACAGCCCTCCCTGGGGCTTTGCTCAAGAGGTTCCTTCTGCTGGGGTTTCACGCAGCTCCCAGAGCAGGCAAAATACCTCTCTCGCAGCAGGCCCACTGCTGCCTGCGGCACTCCGGCATTCTACTGCATTTTATGGGAATTATCTGTTTACTCCCACTGGACCTGTCAACTCCTGGAGGGCAAGGGCAGCTCTATTACCTGGGTCTCAGGAGTAGGTCCTGAGTAGGTACGCAATTCATTTTTTTTCCCCAGCTACTACAGCACCTGCTGTTGTAACCATTAGGATACTTTGGTCACCCTAAACCCGGCAGTGGGAATAGAAGAAGGATGGACGAGGCTCCAGGAGTGACAGGAAGGGGGGAGGCCTTGGGCTCTGCCATCAGGGGAGATGGCACCCTTACCAGGTTCAGAAGGCCAGAGCTGGTAATTCAGGAAGGCTGGGCTTCCACGGCTTGCCAAGGGCAAGTTCTGTGCAGCTGTTAAGAGGTGACATAGTCTAATGGAATGAGCACTGGTCGAGGAGTCAGGAATCTTGGATTCTAGAGCTACTCTGCCGCTAGTTCAGTAGGTCATTCTCTACTCCGGGCTTCCATATTCTGCTCTGTAGATGGAGAGCATTAGACTAGGCAGGTGGTACTCGAATATCACGCTGAGCAGAATTACCTGGGGAGATTTTAAAGCTATACAGATGCCCTGCGCCACCCCATCCCAGTCCAGCCCCCTCCAAAGATTCCACTTCAGTTGGTCTGGTGTGAGGCCCAGC